GGTGGCCGTGGAGACTGCATGGAGTTGGTCCTCTTGAGGCCTGTGAGGAAAGGGGAGAATCAGCAGTGGCGTTTTGGGCTCTGGGGGTTTTGCCTGTTTTGAGGAGGGGGCTACAGCCCAAATCGGCTGGGGAAGGGGAGCTTGAGGCCTTTGGCTGATGGATGCAGGTAGGTAACATAATGGCTCAGTCTCAGAAATTTGGGAGGAGCAGTTGCAGCTCGGGCTGGAGCAGGGAGAGTTTCACTAGAGGGACCCCGTGCTGCAGCGATCGCCTGCAGGAGAGGTGGGAGGAGGAGGATGAACGTGGTTGTGGCCAAGCACTGGGCTGAGCTGGGAGGTGAACAAACCTGGCAGCGCTGCTGCGATGCCCTCACACCTCGACCTGCAGCAGTGCCCCAGGACCACATCCCAAAACAGCAACGGGGCAGGGGTGCACAATGGTTACCCTTTGAGCAGCCCTGAACACCCCCTTCCAGCTACTACCCCTTGAATTGTCCCTTCCTCCGCAAGGAATTAAATAGGACTTGGACATTTCCCAGCTGTTTTAGCTCCACCAAGTAAATGTGCAAGCTCAGCTCCCAGATGAAAAGCGGGCTCTGGAAGTGCCCATCCCCTTCTGGAGGCACCTGGGGAGGATCCAGCCCATGCTGAGTGCTGCCACCCTCCCTCCCCTTGGTACCATTGCTCCACACAACAGCTCGGAGCACCCCAAATCCTCACAGAATGAGGAATGGCATCCCCAGCCAGGCAGGACTGGTCCATGCCCACCCCTTCAGCAACACCTTGTTGGGCACCCTAGCAGCAAAGTGGGGGACACAGCAGCATTAAAAATGCTTTTTCTTAGGGTTCAAACTCAATTATATTTTATCTCTGCTTAAAATTAACCTGGTAAGCGCTGAGCCCACTCCTCTCCATTTACAGCTCTCACATCGTGCATGGGGCTTTCCCAATTCGCACCTTTCCACGGGCCGTAAAATGCCCCTTTGCAGGGAGAAGCACAGCAGGACCCTGCCTTTCCTCCCCAAATGCAGGGGAAGGGACAGGGAACCCCCTCCATGCCTCCCTCTGATCCCCTGGACCTCCCCATCTGCAAATCCCATGGAGCAGAGTGAAACAGCAGGTGCCAGTGCTTCGAGATGTAAAAATCCCTCAGCATCACTTAGTACCGCACACTGAGGGGAGACGGCATCGTGCCCCCAGCCCTCTCCTCCTCCCAGTCGCAGCTCTCACCTGGGCTCCTGCTGACCCCACTCTCTTGGGCGTAGTCGCGGCTGTCGGTGTCCCCGTCACCGCACGGGCCTGCTCTGCCCTCGGCCGGTTTGCGGCCTGGTGCTGCGTGGCTCCCCCGGGCAGCTGCCGCCATTGCCTCACTGCCTGCGGGGAGAGGGACAGAGGTGGCGGTGAGGCCTGCACCCCAACCCTCGCACCCCAAGAAGAGCCACCTGGGTGATGCCCAGCCTGGAAGAGAATGAGGATGGGCACGGCAGCTGCGGCATCACCCCCAGAGCACCAGGGATTGCCAAGCTTTGGAAAGCCCAAAGGACATGGGAAACCATGGGGGCACCAGGAAACACAAGAGACCAGTGGAAAAAGGCCAGAGGCATCCATCAGCCACTCCTCAGCAGCCATCAAACTCGAATTTTCTTTTTGCTGATCATCTTTCATCTATTAGCAAGATGCTGGCTGTCCCAGCCGATAAATCCCAGGGTGCCGGGACAGCTTCACGTTGATAAATCACAACCCACGGATGTGATGGAAAAGGTCTTGGCGCTCACCTGGCTTGTGCTGGAGATGCCAGGTATAAATCTTTGTGTGACATAAATGGGATGTTTATCCTTGGCTGGGCTCTCAGGGTCACCAGGCACAAGGAGAAAGCAAAACGCAACAGATTCCATGTTGAGGGGGAGAGAAGTGGGGGGGAAAACCGCGATACTGAAGAGGAGGGAAAAAGAGCATCCACAACCAGGAGCCCTGTGGTGCAGAAAGAGCGATGCAATAAACAATTTTCCAAGGGAGCCTTAGGAAAATCAGGGGCACGTCAGGAGCATGCTGATTGCCAAGAGGGACTGGACAGACCGCCCCACCTCGCAGGCGAGCTGTCAGCTTAATAGAAGCAGCCTGGTGGTAGGCCAGGAAAGCTAAATGACACCAGCCACCAGCACAATTAAATAGTCTTAATTAAGTGGTTTCCTCAACTGCTGCTGCATGGGAAGATGAAGATCACCACCAGGCACAACCGGGATGGGCACTGCCTTGCTAAGGCTCAGCCAGACCCCCCAAGCTGATGTACCCCACCATGAGTGCTGTTATTCAAAATTGACTCCCAGCAGCGTGGCCACTCTGGGAGTAGTGGGAGCCCTGACACCATCCTGAGGTTGTGGGTGCAGAGCGCGTATGAGGTTAAAAAAGATGAGCCCTAGTGAGGAACATGGCTTCACCCCAAAAGTGGAGAGCACTGATTGCTGCTGCTTAGCACAGCCCCTCAGCTGGCGTCAGTATTAAACACAACATAGGCAGAGCCTTGGGGGACTGCAAGTGCCTGGAGAGCAAGGTATAGCCATAGAAATCCACTGCTGCATCCTCGCCGTGCTCTGGTACCCACACACAGCACCAAGAGCTTCGGTGGGGCACACTCAACGCGGCCAGAGCAGAGCAGCTCCACCGACGCACACAACCCCCCTGTGAGCATCCCAAAGCGCCTGCGGGAGTTGCTTTTTTTTTTAAAGGATTGCCATTAAATAACCAGAAAAACACCCGTCAATCAGCATCGGGAAGCAACACCCACGGCAGCAATTCCGGCATTGCAGCCCAGGCGTGTGCAGTGGGTGGGGAAGCCCCAGAATAACTCGGTCCCCGCATGGTGGGTGGCAGCGGCAAGGAAGGATCCTCGTGGGTGACCGCGGCAGGGACAGGAGGGATGGAGAAAGGGGGTCAGCACAGGCAGCACCGAGGCATGGCACAGGGGAGGGTGCAGAGGCCGGTGCTTACCATCGGGGTCCTGCTCGGCCGGGGGGCCCGCGTCCGCCTGGCCTTGGGGGCACAAACAGAGCGAGAAGGGGTGAAGCTCCAGACCCCCCATCCCTGCCGACACCAACCCGGGCTGTGCTGCTGCTCCTGCCCCAGCTTTACCTTTTTCTATTCTTTTTTTTATTATTATTATTTTTATTTTTCCCCCTCATTGCTGTGTTCATACTCAGGGGCTGCCCAAATTCCCAGCTGGGCACCCCAAATTCCCACCCAGGGCTGCTTGGCTTGAGGACGTCCCTGCAAACTCAACCATCCTGACCTGGACAGCAGGCAGGGGGTGATCTTTGCACCCTTAAAAAAATAGACAGCAGCTGCATAAATGTTCTGAAGGATTTTTGCTAGGGCTCACCCTTACAAACGATGGGGAGGAGACCCAGAAGGAAGGGGCCAGCCCCTGTCATCACCTACCTCGGGTGGGTGCGCGGGAGGGGAGTTTCGGGTCCGGGACGGGGGGCTCCGATGGGGTGGGCTCACTGGAGGCTTGGGGTGCCCTGTTCTTGCTGACAGGCATCGGCTGGGGCAGCATTTGCTTGGGCAAACCCTTGAAGAACCAGGCACCGGAGCGCTTCCACACCTGGGGGTGCAGGCAGAGAGGTGTCACCCACATTTCGGGGGGAAGTGTGGGCATAACTGGCAGCCTTCACCCCCCCCGCATCACTGGGGTCTTCAGCAGGCAGCGCCAAGGACCTGCATCCCCTGCTAATTCACTCTTATGGCTTTTGCACACTGTAGGTGGCAGGGAGCTGATCCCTGATCACGACAGCATCTTCAATATTTAGGAGAATTAGGATATTAGGAAAAATTCTCATACTCAAAGAGTGGTCAAGCACTGGAAGGGGCTGCCCAGGGCAGTGGTGGAGTCACCATACCTGAAGAGGTTCAAAAAACATGTGGATGTGGCACTTTGGGACGTGGTTTAGTGGCCATGGTGAGGTTGGGTTGATGGTTGGATTTGATCATCTTAAAGGTGTTTTCCAACCTTAATGATTCTATGTTCCAACCTCAAGACTTTGTTTTTGAGGAAAAAAAGGGCATTTTTTCTAGAAAACAAGGTCTTCCTCTAAGTGCCAGACTCAAAGAGCTGAGCAAGGTTTAACAGTGCTGGGGAACTGGCTGGAAGTTCCTGGGAGCATCCTCCAGCCTGAAGCTGGTCCTGTTTTGGAGGCCTGGGGTGGGAACCAAAGGCAGAGACCATGTCCCCGCTCTGACATGGGAATGTCCACAGCTCCACACTCACCTCCCGCTGCTCACTGCAGATCTTGCAGAGCCAGATGGCGTGGGGCCGGCTGTTGGTGGTCTCCACCCCGCACTTGGTGCAGACGTTCTGCAGACAAAAAGCAAAAGCACCGCGTGGCAGCAAGGACAGCATGGCCACCGAAAGGTCCCACTGCACCAGCATCACCCCCTTGGGAGCGTGAGGTTAATGAGAGCTGGTTAACGAGATCTCTCCCAGCACAAACATCGGTGACTGCAGAAACCCCTGGGGTTGTCCCCTTGCGGCACGTGTGAAGTGATGCTGAGCAACCAAAACATGCACCAAGAGATCCAGGTGCACATTTTTGCACTGGGGGAGAGGATGTGTGGGTCTGAGGGGCTGCACACAGCAGTGGGGTGCAGGAAGACACCTCACCTTCTTGCAGTCCTCGCAGACGACACAGGCGGACCCCCGCGGCCCCAGCTGCTCCCCACAGAGGATGCAGCGGTTGACACCGTCCCCCAGCACGCTTCGGCGCATGTCCTCCAGCCGTGTCATCAGGCGCCTGGCAGAGAGGGGACACAGAGAGGGGTGTCAGGAATGGCACGGCCAGGATGCGGGGGTCCCAGTCCCAAAGGACGGCCAGGATGCGGGGGTCCGCGCTCCCCAGGGATGGCCGCTGCCTTTGGTCCAGCTTCCAGCAGAGCATCCCCTCTTCCAGCTACAGGAACACAATGAATCACAGAATCACAGAATCGCTCAGTTGGAAAAGCCCTCTGAGGTCATCACGTCCAACCGTTCCTGTCTACCCCCTAAACCATATCCTTAAGTACCTCATCTACCCGCTCTTTAAACACATCCAGGGATGGTGACTCCACCACCTCCCTGGGCAGCCTGTTCCAGCCTCTGACGACCCTCTCAGTAAAGAACTTCCTCCTTATCTCTAACCTGAACCTCCCTTGGCACAGCTTGGTGCCGTTTCCCCTTGTTCTATCCCCATCACCTGGGAGAAAAGACCAGCCCCCACCTCTCTACAACCTCCCTTGAGGCAGCTGTAGGTGGTGATGAGGTCTCCCCTCAGCCTTCTCTTCTCCAGGCTAAACAAGCCCAGTTCCCTCAGCCGCTCCTCATCAGGCTTGTTCTCCAGAGCCCTCCCCATCCTTGTGGCTCTTCTCTGAACACGCTCCAGAATCTCAACATCCTTCTTATAGTGAGGGGCCCAGAACTCAATGGGACAAAATGAAGGGACAAAACACTCCAGGGGATATATCAGACAATTATACCCCTTCTATATTCCCCTAGAGCTTTATATTGCACCACTGTGAACTTGCACTGATGCTGCCAGGGAGCAGATATCAGCCCCAGCTCCCACAGGCATAAAATCCACCCAGGCCAGCACCTTTGCACAAATGGGGTTGGCATTGGTGAAGCAGCTTTTTCCCCAAAAAATCTTTCCCCCCAGACGCAGCGACCATCCATGGAAGAGCAGCAAGTGGAGATCTTGGATGGGCTGTGACAAAAGACTGAACAAACTAATTAGTTTCCTCACTTACTAAGGGGAAAAAAACCGTATCAGTTACTTTGTGGAAATTCATAGCCCTTTGAGGGAAATGCAAAGGGTGCACCAGAGAACAGGCTAGAAAAACACATCTGTTTGCTGCAAAGGTAGAAAAAAATCCAGTTAAGCAACTTCTGAGAAACCAGCAGCAGCAAAAGCAGTTTGCAAAACAGGAGTGGGCTCCCAAGAGCTGTCGGCGAGTCGTGAGCTTGGTTAACCCAGAATCCTGGCCCTAAAAATAGCACAAGAAGGGAAAAAGGATGCATTATTTATGGCACTGGGCGAGGAAGGAGCAGGAATTTTTTTCCCAAGCCCACCGGGGAGAGCAGCAGCCCCCTCCCATGGTAGCCTGACCCAAATCTGACAAAGCCACTAACGTGGCACATCGTAAAAAACCCCAGCGTTTAAAATACATTTTTAAAAAGACATTTTCCCACAAGCCTGATGACAGCTTTGGATTCATGGCGGCTCGGCTGCCGGCACCTCCAAATCGCTCATAAACAACAGGGTGTGGAGAAACGCAGTGGTGTTGTCAGACGTGGGTGCTCCATAAAGAAATAGCAGCAAGAAAGGGGAAAAAATAGAGCACTGTGGAATATGCAAGTTATTGCAGTTCATATCATGCCCCACTGGAAATTTGCTGCTGTCAATGGGAGCGTTTTGAAGCACTTGCAGCCACCGAGTCGAACCCAAAGTGGGGATGCAGCTCCATGACCCCACGGAGGTCCCGGTGATTTTAAGAGCTGCACCATCCCATAAACACCCAGCAATGAGCATTATCCCGATTAAAACCCAAAAAGTGGCCGTTCCCCAGACATTTCTTATTTAAATTGAATCAATCACATCACGGGTGTTCCCAGCCCACACGCAATGCAGGGTCTCCACAAAGAGCCCCCAACAGCAAATAACCACCAAAGCCCAGCTCCTGCTGCACCACATTGCTCCCACCTCAACAGGAAACATTTCTGGGGCAAAATCTTTATTGTCCTGGCAGCGAAGCATACGAACAAGCCCCATCTCTTCTGCAGCTCCCCCTCCCTGTGCTGCAAGAGCTTCCAGTTGGAAATCTGCAAGCCCAAACAAACTGATTATAGAAACCAGAACAAATGGCACAATCAAAGCAAAAAAGGAGGAAAAAAAAGCCTTTGCATTTCAAGAGATTCATTATTTAGCAGCAAAAATCTTTCCCAGTCTCTCATTTAGCAGAAGCGGCTTCTCAAGAGGGTTTTTTTATTTTTTAAACCAGTGGAAGAGCTTCAGCAGCCAGTACACACACCTGTGGCACCGGTTTCAAACGAAGCATATTTCCCTAATTAAAACACCCATTCAAGAGGGAGAAATTGGGCATTTTTAACTCAATTTGAATGCTGCCATGAGAGGATTGTATTAAAAAAATACATTTTTAACTGCTGGCAGAAAGAGGGCAGGACCTGGGAAAGGAGATACCACACCACCAGGCTGGGAAGCTCCCAGTTAAGGTGATGCCCTGGGAGCAGCCAGGACCAAGCTTTTCTCTTCTTATCCCCTAGGTACCATTTCCCCCCTAATTTTTATTGCACAATAATTAGCCATTCAATTCATCACTCTCCCCTGCCCGTCTCTAAGACTACAGCAACATCTTCCTCATCACTTCAAAGTGCCCATCCCTCTGTAAGACTGACTTCAAAGAGCAGTAAATACGCTTCAAATTGTTAAAATAGGGAAAAAAACCCAATGAGAGGAGTAACTGAAGCCGGTGGCAGGGAGCTGGCTAAGCCCAGCACCCGGAGACAGCCCTGGGAGAGGGAGAGCATCCGTCATCTGCCAAAGAAATAGGAATTCGTCACTGATGGGAGCAAGAGATAGGAACCGGGCGATGCGCTGTATCTGCAACGCTTAACATGCACCCAAGATAACGGCAATAAAACAGCCCCCGAAGAAAAGAAAATCTGCCTGGGCCCATAAATATGGCTTGGGAGAGGAAGGCGAGCAGGAGCTCAGTGCAGGCAGGGGAAGGGCTCTTGGTTGGGGAAAGAGCTGCAAACATCTCCTGTGATTTCGGGTGTGTGAAGGGACCCCTGGGGATGCAGCAAAGGGTGCCCACTGGGATGAGGGACCATCTTGGGCTGGATGCTTGGTAGGAGAGAAACCTGCAGTGCTACAGCACCCACATTATAATCATTAAGGTTGGAAAAGACCTCCACGATCATCAATCCAACCGTCAACCCAAGCCCACCATGGCCAATAAACCATGTCCCCAAGTGCCACATTGAACACCTCCAGGGATGGTGACCCCACCACTGCCCTGGGCAGTCCCTTCCAGTGCTTGGCCACTCCTCCAGTATAGAATTTTTTCCTAAAATCCAATCTAACCCTCCTATGGCACAACTTGAGGTCATTTCCTCTCATCCCATCGCTTGTAAGTTGGGAGAAGAGGACTTGCTCTAGGACTGGAGAAGGACAGAAAGTCACAGCATTAAGTGCTGATGATCTTGGGAAACAAGGCTGAGCAGCAGGGCAGGCATGCAGGAGTTTGTCGTGTTTAAATATTCATTGCCACTCTGCGGAAGCGAGCGGCTAAAGACGTGCCTAATGGCTTTTAAATCATGTCGGGGAGGACATTTAATGCGGCGTAGGGGTGGGAGAAGGACCTGACCTGCGGGAAAGGAGCTGATCCAGGGCACTGTGGGCTGGGTGCTTCCCAGCCCCATGCGGGAGCCAGCGGGGATGGACTCAGCCACTGCTTACGTGGCAAAAAAACCTCAAGTAAAACACAAAGGAGGTCACAAACTGCCTCCAGAATTAAGCACTGGCTCGGCTCTGCAGGGAAATCATGTTCCTTAAAGGGCTGAATATTAAATTAAGGCTAATTTTAATGGTATAAAAGAAGCAAGAAAAGAAGCCAAGCTGGAGATTAAAGAAAACATAATTAAAATCAGGATGAAAAATTAGAATCAATTTTCTTCCAAGAGCACAGGTAACTAAAGGTACAGCACCTTTACAGGTTGACTTTCAAAGCTTACATAGGAAGATGCCCAAGGAGGCCAAGGGATTTATGCATTTCTGAGTGTCCCATTCCATGCTAGCCCATCCCTCCAAGTCCTTGCTGCCTCCTGTGATGTGTTGCAGGAGAATCACTATTTTATGGGCTCATCCCAGTCTCAGAAATAACAGAGGAAGGTTTTTTTGGGGAATAAAACTCAACAAACCAACCCAAAACCCCACAAAAATTCAAGAAACACATGCACTGTCTCCTGGTCATGAATTAATCTCAACTCTCCTAGAAGCTGGCACCTCAGGAGATGTTTCCATCTGCCTTTAGCAACTCCCCTGCCCTTCCCAGCTCATATTTTTCATATTTTTTGTGTTGTCTGAACATGACGAAGAAAATATGAGAGCGTGGTCCCCGGAGAGCATCGCTGCTGCTGGCCACCGAGGTTAATGACTTAATCCCCCGCGACTCCAGCCATCTGCTCCCGCATTAGCTATGTGTCATCCCAGCAATAAGCAGCCAAATTAAAACACAATAGCTGGCCCTCTCGGAGGAAAGGTGAGGGGCTGAGCCCCATGGAGAGATCACCAAACCTTTTAGAGGGTACCAGAGGGAAGGGAATAGCTGGGACATGGATGGATGCAGGCCTGCGTCACGTCACCCCCGGGAGAACCAGTTTGGGACCACAAGGAGCTCCCCCAAAACAGCAATTTCTGATGTTTGGGTGGCTGAAGATCTTTCCTTGGACGCTGGGAGTGTGATGGACCTCATTAGACAACTGAGCAGACTGGGTGGGTTATTGATGGCCTCCAATCAGAGGTGCATCACGAAGCCAATTAGTGCCTGCAGGTCCCTCCTGCAGCAGCCAGGAGGAACAGGCTCCTCATGGAGCATCACCACAGCAGGGAACCCCTTAAAGCCACTGCAAGAACCCCCTCAAAGCCACCGCAGGGACCCCCTGGGGATGAGTCCAGGCCAAGTGGGAGGGAGCAGGGACGAGAAGGGATGCTTCACCCTCTGCCCACCGGCTTTTGGCTCCTGTGCCTCTAAACTGGCCCGAAGGATTATCCTAATCCCCAGGGAGTTGTAAAGTCCTTCATCAACTCGCATTGCATCGCTGTTTAGGATTATTTCGGCTCCTGTTATCCTCCTCTGTGCTAGGAGACAACAACCCAGCCAAAAAAACCCTCACGCACCAAAGTGTCCCTGTCCTACAACCCTCATCAGCATCCAGAGCATGCATCCCCCGGGCCTCCATCCACCCTGGCTGCTAAAAATACTCCTTCGGTAGATTAATTTGGGCTGGATTTGACACCAAGTCTGATCCCACCAACATCATCTCAACAAGCGGCATCGATTTGTTCCCGAATAAACACAGGACACAGGAGAAGGGACACGACGAAAATGGAGATGGATGGGCCCAAAATCAGGAGGGATTGGGCACAAGGAGGTCCATTTGCAGCCAACTGTGGACTACACGATTGCTCAAACATCCTATGTAAGGCTCAGATGCATCCTCTCAAACACATCCACTCATTAACACAACTCCAAGCACTTACCACCTGTTCCCTCTTTGGAAAGTGCATTCATTCACACCAGCTGATCTTTATATTAAGAACCGGGTTTCAATGGATCTTACGGCTTTTCCTCTTACAGGAATAGAAAATACCAAAAAAAAATTAAAATTGTAGAAACCCAGGCTTTTCCAGAGCATCTCCCTCGAGCGAGGGCTATGGTCACCCCCACTGGCAAACCCGGATTATTTTGTAATATAAGAAGCTATTTGGGATAATGTCCGAGTGGCTCCTGAACGGGATCGCTGCAGCGGCTGTCCCGTATTTCTGGAGCCGCGCATCCGCCAGCTCCGGCTATGCGAGCCAAGAGACACAAAGGAGCTGGCACGGCTCCCGCAGCGCCTACGCGCGGGAGAGAAAGCGGCCGCAGCCGCGCATCCGCCACAGCTTTTTCATGAATGGGGATGGGAAAACCTCCCCCGGCTCCGCTAGCAAAGGGAAAAGAAGGGACATTTTGGGCAGGGGAGCGAATGGCTGCAGGAA